AGCGGCCGGACTCGCCCTACTCGCCCGGCAGACCGCGGGTGCCAGGCGCCTTCCTTCCGGGTGAGGACAGGGCCTCCCGCGCCGACCCGCAAGGCCCGAGCGGCGCGCACTGCCGCCCCGCGGACGCCGTCGCCGCACGCCGGGCAGTTGTAGGCGCGGGGCCGCTATCTCCGGCCCGGCGTTCCGGGAAAGGCAGCCGGGGGCGGCTTTCCGGGGCGTCTGGGACAGAATGCCACGATGGACGAGGGGGAGGCGCCCCTGCTCCCTGACAGTCTCGTCTACCAGATTTTCCTGAGCCTGGGCCCCGCGGACGTGCTGGCCGCCGGCCTGGCGTGCCGCCAGTGGCAGGCCGTGTCCCGGGACGAGTGCCTGTGGAGGGAGCAGTTCTACCGCCACTACCAGGTGGCCCGCGACGTGCCCCGGCACCCAGGTCAGCGGGGCTGCCCCCGAGCGGGCTGGCGGGGCGGGGGGGCCGCCCGGGGGCGGGGCGCCGGGGCACGTCGCGGAGGACGCCCTGTCCCTGCAGCCGCCACGTCCTGGTACGAGGAGTTCCAGCGACTGTATGATGCCGTGCCCTGCGTGGAGGTGCAGACGCTACGGGAGCACACGGACCAGGTCTTGCACCTGAGTTTCTCGCACTCGGGCTGCCAGTTCGCCTCCTGCTCCAAGGACTGCACGGTGAAGGTGAGGGGGACTGGCCGAGAGGCGGAGGGCCAGCACAGTCCGGTCCTGAGGTTGCCCCCTGTCGGGCACAGGCTGCCAGGGGCATGCACACGCACGCAGGCACAAAATGGGGCTTTCTGGGTCGCTTCGGCTCCCACCCCGGCTGCCCCTTGCCAGCGGGTAACTCCTGCCTCCACAACAGGTTTGGAACAACGACTTGGCTGTCTCGCTCCTGCACAGTGTGGACATGCGGCCGTACAACTGGAGCTACACCCAGTTCTCCCAGTTCAACCCGGACGACACGCTGCTGCTGGCGTCGGGCGTGTTCCTGGGACCCCACAACTCCTCGTCGGGCGAGATCGCTGTCATCAGCCTGGGTGAGGGCCGCCCTGCCCCCGCCCCCGGCTCCTGCCGTCCCCTGCCTGGCCTGACCCCATGCTGTCCCGCAGACACCTTCCTCCTGCTGTCTCGCGTGAGGAACAAGCCGTACGATGTGTTTGGCTGCTGGCTCACAGAGACGAGCCTGATCTCGGGGAACCTGCACCGCATCGGTGACATCACGTCCTGCTCCGTGCTCTGGCTCAACCATGCCTTCCAGGTGGGGACTGGGCGGGGCGGGTGCAGGGAGCCACGCCCACCGGCCCCGGCCACGCCCACCGGCCACGCCCCTCCCCATGCAGGACGTGGAGTCGGAGAAAGTGAACGTGGTGAAGCGGCTCTTCAAGATCCAGAACCTCAATGCCAGCACCATCCGCACCGTCATGGTGGCCGACTGCAGCCGCTTCGACAGCCCCGACCTGCTCCTGGACGCCAGCGGTTCAGCCGCGCCCCCGTGCCGCGTCTTTGACCTGGGCGGCGGCAGCGACAGCGAGGACGAGGCGCCGGCCCCGGTGCGGGCCAAGGAGGGCCTGCGGCGCCTCCTGGATGACGTGCTGGACGGGCGGGCGCAGCCCCCGCTGTCCGCCAACGTGCTGGAGACCAGGGTGGCTGAGCTGCTGGGCCAGGGCCGCACCAGGCCCCCGGAGCCAGTGGCCGGCGACAAGCACAAGTACCTCATCTTCACCACGGGCTGCCTCACCTACTCTCCGCACCAGATCGGTAACGGGGCTGAGGGGCCGGCGGGTGGGTCAGCCCGGGAACCGCCAGCTGCGGGCGGGGAGCCCGCCGAGGGCTGTGCACCGTGAATGCACGCGCAGGGGCGCTCGGCCAGGAACCCGCGGCCGGCCGGGGAGGCTGGACCACTGCTCAGGCGGCGCCCTCCCCGTCCGGCCCTCGCAGGCATCAAGCAGATCCTGCCGCACCAGATGACGACGGCGGGGCCGGTGCTGGGGGAGGAGCGCGGCGCCGACGAGTTCTTCGACGCGCTGGATCACGTCATCGACGTGCACGGCCACGTCATCGGGATGGGCCTGTCGCCCGACCACAGGTGGGTCCCCGGGGAGGGCAGAGCCCAGCGGGGGCCGGGTGGGACGGCGGCGACCTAGCTGTGACCCCTGGCCAGGTACCTGTATGTGAACAGCCGCTCGTGGCCCAGCGGCGCGGTGGTGGCCGACCCCATGCAGCCGCCACCCATCGCCGAGGAGATCGACCTGCATGTGTTCGACCTCAAGACCATGCGGGAGGTGAAGCGGGCCCTGCGTGCCCACCGCGCCTACACGCCCAACGACGAGTGCTTCTTCATCTTCCTGGACGTCAGCAGGGACTTCGTGGCCAGGTGCAGAAAGGCTGAGACGTGGGGTGTGGGGGGCGCAACATGTGATTGGGCACAGCCGGTGTGGGGCTTGGGGGCGTGTTGGGAGGCACGGCATGTGATTGGGCTCGGGTGAGTGGGGGCGGGGTGATGGTGCAGCATGTGATTGGACACTGGCAGGTATGAGGGCGGGGTGTGTTGGGGGCGTGGCATTTGACCAGACCTGGGCAGGGCATGGGGGCGGGGCATGCACATGGGCGGGGTGGGCAGGGAGACTCACTGGCTGTGGTCCACAGTGGGGCCGAGGACCGGCATGGGTACATCTGGGACCGCCATTACAACATCTGCCTGGCCAAGTTGCGGCACGAAGACGTGGTCAACTCGGTGGTCTTCAGCCCCCGGGATCAGGAGTTCATGCTGACGGCCAGTGACGACGGCACCATCAAGGCATGGCGCTCACCCCGCACCGTGCGCGCCCTCCAGGCCCCGCGCCCGCGCCCACGCTCCCGCCCCTTCTTTTCCTGGTTTACTAGCCAGAGGCGCTGACAGGCGCTTACAGAGCCACCTGGCTGGAGCAACAGCAGCCCAGGGGTGTCCTCGAGCTGGTTGGAGCCCACTGAGGACGTCCCAGGCCCTTTTCCTCATTAGAGACGCTGCCCAGGCCTGTGGGGGTGGAGCTGGCAGCAACCATGCTGCGGGAGGGAGGGTCTGGTTAGTCTGGGCCTGTGGCCAAGGTGGTCTGACCTCAACACACACACGGGCACCCACCTCACCACTGTGACACGAAACACTGGGGGCTGGTGGCCCCAACCACACTGCAGACCAACACGAGTGTCCCCTGCCTGGCCCTGAGGGACACGAGATGGGAGACCCACTCCTCTGGAGACTCAAGGACTCGCTGCCTGGCTGGTGGCTCTTTGGCAAGGCCCTTGGTCTGGCCTGCACGCATGGCACCACACGGCCAGCAAGCCCTATGGGGCCGCAGGGCCAGCCCGCTGGGTGGCAGCGCTCCACCGGATCCGACTGCCCTGGGCCCAGGGCCCCTTGTCTGGCCACCTGGCCTGACCAGCAGCAGGAGGAGGAGCAGGTCAGTGTGCACCCTGGACTGTACCGCATGTCCACTTGTACCCTTGTCACCTGTCCTTTGAATAAACAGCTGGCAACAGCACCAGACTTGCTTTGCGTGCTGTGTCTGCAGAGATGGGGAGAGGCCCTGGACCAGGCCAGGCCTCACAGTCCTCATCCGACAGGTGAAGAGAGACCTGTGGCCACAGTGGGGTCACTGGGGCTAAGCAGGCTGGTGGGAGTCTGTGCCCACCCTTGCCCTGCATAGCTCCCCTGGCAGTCTGAGTAAAGCAAGTGGGGTGGGGTGATAAGTCATTGTGCACACAGGTATCTGAGTACATCATCCCCACTGTCCTGAGCACTTGATGTCCAAGAGGAGAGAAACTGGAACGCTACACACAGACTAAAATGAAACACGTAACGACAAAAGAAGACCGGACAGAACTTTGGAAGGAGACAGATCCGAGTCTACCAGAGATGCAGCCTGAGAAGTGGGAGACTCCAAGACCCAGGGTGTTCCGATCCCCAGCTACCTGCAGGGCTTCCAGGTGGGGCAGGGGTAGTGGTGGAGAGCTCTGTGCACAGAGAAAGGGCCAGATTAGAGAAAGGAAAATCTCAGAAACACGTGCCACTGAGGTCTGGCCCCACGCAGATGCAGCATCAGACGGTGCAGCCTGGGAGATGGCGCAGTGAATCAGCCAGGCTCTGGTCTGGGTGAGGTGGAGGGCGTGGGCAGAGGGCGAGGAGGACAGGGGAGCACGACAGTTGAAGTCCCACAGGACCTGCCCGGCTGACCCTCTTGTCTGTCCCACTGGTACCCCAGCCTAAACTGAATGCAGCCGTAAACCTGGAGGTGTTCAGAGAGGACGTTCTGGGGAAACCTGGTCAAAGGCTGGGAACGGGAACTCGAAGCTCAGTGAGTGTGGAAATGCCCCGCACAGCCAGCCCCCAGATAAGCCCGTGGTGGCCGTGGGAACTCAAGGACCGAAGCTGAGGGAAGGGAACCTTCCTCGCTGTCCGGTGGAGCTGCGATTCCAAAAGGGGGACCAGCCGCCATGACTTTTCTCTGTGACCCCTGCTGCATGGCCCAGAGATGGGCCACTTGGGGAACGGTGTGACGGAATGGGGTAAGCGGCACTAAGGCTCTTCCTCGAGGCCCAACGAGGCCGCTGGGACTAGCAGGAAGATCGTGAGCGGGAAGACTGCTCGCGGAGCAACGTGTGAGCACTAAGGCACAGCCTCAAACTGCAAATGCACGGGTCTGGTTGTACTTATCACACCAGGGCCTTGAGAACTAGCAGACCAGCAACGAGTCCACGCTGCTGACAAGGAGATGCACCCCTGGCACCGACGCAAAGAGCGGTGCAAGGCCTGTGGACACGGCCCAGAGAGGCAGGCAGCGTGGCTTGGCCCCCGCACTGACCACGAGGCTGAGACTCTAGGAAGACTGAAGTGCCAGTACTTCCCATGGGATTCAAGAATCTCACAATGTCATGTCCAGGATGGCGATGGGAGAGTCCAGAATGAGGGGCGCACAAAGAACCGTGGACGTTTCAACTCACGAGGGAAGAGGCCCAGCTGCTGACTTGCTGACAAAGACGTTAAAGCAGCTGTTACGAAACGCTTGCCTGGGCGATTCAAACATCTTCCAGATAGGAGAATATGACGGTCTCGGCAATAAAGAAAGATACAAAAGAACCAAATGGAAACGTCAGAACGGAAAACACGTCACTGGATGGACTCGGTACGGGAGGGACGCGAGAGGACAGTGCTGGGAAACAGGATGGAGCGACGCACGTCACCCAGTCTGAGCAGGGAGAGAAGGAAGACACGGGCGGACAGAACTCTGGAAGGAGACAGATCCGAGCCTAGCAGAGCGGTCCCTCGGGGCGGGGACAGAGGTCTGATGCTTGTGCAGTGGGGACTGCAGAAGAGCGCACAGTGAGTTGAAGGAACGGTAGCTGAAAACCCCAAGTGTGGAGAGAGACGCACCTGCACAGTCAGAGCTGAGCAAGCCAAAACGGAGCCATCCACACCCGGGTGCGTCATCGCCGAAGTGCAGAAAACTGTTGTCAGGTGCTGTCCAGTCGGCGCCACTGCACAGTGGCCCCGTGCCCAGCAGAACCAAACCCCAGCCGGTGGGCGCCGTCCTCACAGTCCTGGTTAGGCTTGAGCCCGTCGTGGCAGCCACCGTGTCAGTCCACCTCGTTGAGGGCCGTCCCCTTTTTCTCTGACCTTCCACCTTACCAAGCAGGACGTCTTCTCAGGGAATGGTCCCTTCTGACAACATGACCAAAGTAGGTGAGACTAGGGCTGCCCATTCTTGCCTCCAAGGAGCACTCCGGCTGCAGTTCTGGGACAAGCCTTACCAGCCCACGGAGGAGAAAGCTTGATGCCTTTGGTTAGGCGGCTTACTGGCAGAGTGGGTTGCCTTCGGGCATTAATTGGTGCAAGAGACTGGCATGAGATGGAGTAGCAGGTTGGCCAGCCCACGGAGCAAGAAGCTGAGTACTTTTTTTGGGGGGAAGGGGCAGGAAGATTTCTGGTGGAGTGGGTTGCCCTTGGGCATTAATTGGCAGAAGCAGAGCTGCCTCAGCCTGCAGTGGGGGGACCGTGGCCTTTGGGGGTGGGGCTACACAGTTTCAAAGAGCCAGGCCTTCACCAACTGGGTTCTGGAGTGCGGGGCTGCTGCCCAAGAGGGAGGGGGCGGGGCTGCCAGGCCCAAGAGGGAGAGGAACGGGGCCGCCAGGCCAACGGGGTGAGGTGGCTCGGGACTGGAGCCACCCAGGGGAGGAGACCTGTACAGCTGCCAAGTTGACAAGGGCTGGAATTGTGCTGGTTCTGTTTGTGGGTCAACCTGGCTGGGCCTGGCTGAGTGGCTGGGCAGCTGGTGGTAGTTATTCCCCATGATGAGACTGGCAATCAACTCCATGGTGGGATCTACCACAAGCAGCGGAGTAGCTGCCTCTGAGATGTGGGCTGCTTCCTGTGTGTAAGGAGAAGCCTTGGGAATGGTCTCTAGCTTGTGGCATGCTTGGACCCTGCATGGAGCCGTGTCACTGTTCAGCAGACCTTGCTCTGCCGACCTTGGGACTCATAATGGACTTGAATTAATGGCCTGTCATGTGGTTTGGTGACATTGGCATTGTGCCATTTTGTCAACCTTGGGCTTGTTAGCCTCAGCAGCCAGCAGCTGTCTGAATGAAGAAAAGCCTCTAGCTTCAGTGGGCCAGGAGCAAGAGGCAGAGCTGAAGCCCAAGGTTGAGGGGCTTTCACCCAGCCCCTAGAGCCTGGCACTTTGAACTTGGACTTAAAGCCTCCAAACTGTGAAGAATAAACTCGTGTTTGTTAAGGCCAACACATTGGTGGTATTTTCCCGTCAGAATGGCACCAGGGAACCAGAACAGTATTCAAAGTGACACCTTTACTCTTCAACACTTGGAATTCTTTCGCAGCAGATCTGCCCAGTGCACTACAACAGCTGCTCTCTGGGCTGCTGCTCCCATGAGTGCTGACTACAGGTCCAAGTAAAATGAAATCTCTGACAATTTCAATCTTTTCTCCATTTATTGTGATGTTGCTCATTGGTCTAGTTGTGAGGATTTTTGTTTTCTTTATGTTGGGGTGTAATCTATACTGAAGACTATAGCTTTTGATCTTCATCAGTAAGTGCTCCAAGTCATTTTCATTTTCAGCAAGCAAAGTAGTTGTGTCATCTGCGTATCACAGGTTGGTACTGATTCTTCCTGTAATCTGATGCCACATTCTTCTTCATATAGTCCAACTTCTCAGATTATTTGCTCAGCATACAGGCTAAGTAAGTATGGTGAAAGGATACAATCTTGACACACACCTTTCCTGATTGTAAATAATGCAGTACCCCCTTGTTCTGTTCAAACAGTAGCCTCCTGGTCTATGTATAGGTTCCTCATGAGCACAATGAAGTGTTCTGGAATTTCCATTATTCTCAGTGTTATTCATAATTCGTGAAGGTCCACACAGTTGGATGCTTTTGCACCGTCACAGATAAACGTCTTTCTGGTGTTCTCTGCTTTTAGCCAAGGTCCGTCACCTGGCATCAGCAATGATACCTGTCATTTCACCTTCTCTTCTGAATTCCTTATTGCTGTACTGCTGCATCTGTTTTTGAATTGTCTTCAGCAGAGTTTTACTGGTAGAAAACTAAAGACAAATCTTGAAAAAAAAAAACAAAACACTCAGAAAGGAATCAAAATAGGAGATTCTGGGTAGAGCAGAAGAAAAAATGTGGAACAAAATATTAAAATATGAAATAGACCAGATTTACTGGTGGAGAGATTGGTGAAACCCCCAAGACTATGGCCTTGAGTCATCCTTTGGGCCTGGAATTGAACTCACTCCCATGGCTTACCTTTCAGCCAAACAACAGACATGCCCACGGGCTGAACAACTATACCCTGGAGTTGCACTCCGTAGAACAATCAATCACAGGAGATCAGAAGGGCAGCATTTGCACAGGGAGATGCAGGAATGCATAGGCAAGAGGACACAGAGGGGTGACCCCAGGGAGGAAAAGGGGGGAGAGCTGTCACATTGTGGGGAGTGTGACCAGTGTCACAAAACAAGACGTGTATGAACTGTTGAATGTAAAATGAATCTGCTTTGTAAAATTTTACCCAAATCACAATAGAAAGTTGAAAAAAAAAATTTTTTTTGAAAGCTTCCAGAGGAAAAAGATGCATTATTGATGCCTACCAAGCCACACCCACTGCCGTGGAGTCGATTCTGACCCACAGCGCCCCTAGAGGACAGAGTGGAACTGCCCACAGGGTCTCCAAGGCT